CAAGACGCCTGTTCCTGTCGGCCGTGACCCTCCGGATGGTCGTGTGCGCGGCTGGGCGCCTCCGCTCCTCAACAAACGCGCACTGCGTTGTGTGGACGCTGCTGTTCCCCTGCTGCTGCTGCTGCTGCTGCTGCTGCTGCTGCTTCTTGGAATCTTCGACCTACATCGCGTGCTATGTGAGAGCAGTGTGGGGGGCAGTGCCTCCAGAAGGGCTGGCTCATGCGGGCTCTTCGCTGTTGGCCGAGAAGCGAAAGAGCCCGCAACAGCCCGCTGCGACGCGCTCAGCGAGCGGCTGTGTTCGGGTGTTTCTCCCGAAGCCAGCTTTGGCATACGTGAATTCGTGTGGCGCGGCCCATCCGGCGGAGGCTGTGCTGCCGAAAAGAGCCCGCTGGAGCCCGCGCCAGCCCGGTCAGCCGCCGCCAGCCCGCGCGCTTGGATAGACCATTCCGCTCAGCCGAAAGAGAAGAAGAGAAGGAAGAAGCAAATGTATCGTTTAGGGCTGATAGGGCAGATTTGTGAGTGATTCGTTGTCTTAAAAATATCACATTTGCTCTATAAAATCATTTTGAACATGTAAGAGTTGTAAAATGCTGTGTTAAAAGGTCCATTCATTGAGGCACAAAAAAATTATTTGCTTCTTCCTTCTCTTCTTCTTTTTCGGCTTAGCGGAATGGTCTACTGCGGGCTGACGGCGGACTGCCCGCCGGCGCCGGCCCACCCCGCCTCGGCCACGGGCCCGGGCTGATGCCGCTGGTTGTGCCGAAAGAGTTCGAGCGGGCTGAGCGCAGCCGTGCGGGCTCTTTGCGGGCTCTTTCGTTCGGCAACGGGCTGGGCTGGGCTGGGCTCCTGCAATTCGTGGTTGCGGGCTGTCGCGGGCTCCCTTGCCTACCGCGCCAACAGCGAAGAGCCCGCATGAGCCAGCCCTTCTGGAGGCACTGGTGGGGGGCGTTGGGAGGCGTTCCCATGGAATAGGGTGCGGAGTCACCCGGCGGGGTGTGGTTGGGAGGGGGGAGGGGGGTGCTGGCTGGTATTT